CCCCCCTCCACTAATCCCCTCTCTCTTTCCCTGTGCCCACAGGAAGCTGCTGAAATCTACCCTCGTCCTTATGCCTCTGTTTGGAGTTCACTATATTGTTTTCATGGCTATGCCATACACAGACGTGTCAGGGATTCTTTGGCAAGTTCAAATGCACTATGAAATGCTGTTCAACTCTTTCCAGGTACTGGGACTGGGGAATTATGGGGGGGAAAACCACGAGGATTTCAATGGGGAGAAGGGGGAATTGGGAGTGCAAGTTGTCTCTGGAAGCAGAGCTGCTTTTACAGTATGCCAGGTGATTTGACAATATTTGAATATATATAATTTTATAATATAAATATTATAATAATCTTTATAATATAAATATTATAAAATATTTGAAAATATTTTCTCTTTTCAAAGCACGGTGTTTATGTTATTTGTATTTATAAAGGCTCAGTGTGGCCAACAAAAAAAATGGTCCTGTTGAAAAGTAGCTTTGCCCCACAAAATAAACCCCTTTAGACCCAGGTGAGACACGAGCTGGTGGAGATCCACAGAGGTGTTGTTTCAAATTACCTTCCAATTTTCCTGCCCCAAGTTGTCTTTTCAGTGCTGAGTGGATTCCTCAGTTCTTGGGAAAAAGGGAGGCTTAGTTTTAGGAATGTTCCTATGGAAGACACAGCAGCAGGAATTAGCAGCTCTGGAACAGAGCAGTGTTTGGTCATCACTGAGAGGTTGACTTTTGGCTCTCCTGTGGTCATGGGTGACCAGAGCGGATGATGAAAGGTGGACAGAGAAACTGTCAGGGAGGTGGAGCCCAAACCTGCATTCCTGTGCTTCCACAGTTCCTGTTGGATGGGATAAAACACTCAGCAAGAGCTGGGGGAAGTGTTGGCCAACCCAAAGGTGTGGGGGGGTTTGCTCCCACCTGGATTCCTTTGTTGGTCTCACTCAGCCAGTTCTGCTCCAGTCACAGGCAGAGCTGGAAAAATCCAATCAGGACCATCTTCCACCCTCCAGGAGCATCAACCACACATAAAACACCGGGAATTACATCCTGGAAGTTCCTAAACACCTTCAGTGAGGCAGAACTCACCACGTTCCCAGGCCCCCCCCCCACCATCCCAGAACCTGCAGAAGATCCCAAAATAGCTCTGCTCACTAAACCACGGCCCAGAGGGTCCCAGGGTCCCAGGAGGGGTCCCCAGGAGGGACCACAGTGGGGCATCTGGTGCCACCCCCCTGCCCCAGCAGGGCCATCCCAGAGCACGTGGCACAGGATTGTGTCCTGATGGTTCTGGAATAGCCCCAGGGAGGAGGCTCCACACCCTGCCTGGACAGTCTGTTCAGTGCTCGGAACAAGTTCTTCCTCGTGTCCAGGTGGAACTTCCTGGGCATCAGTTCCTGCCCGTTCCTCCTGTGCCATTGCTGGGCCCCCCCGAGCAGAGCCTGGTCCGTCCTCTGCCCCCTCCCTGCAGCCCCTGAGGGACATCGGGGAGGTCCCCTCTCAGTGTCGCCTCTGGAGGCTGAACAGCCCCAGCTCCCTCAGCCTGCCCCGGTCACAGAGATGCTCCATCCCTTCAGCACCTCCACAGGAGAATTATTTTCCAGGAGCTCCACATCCCTGCTGTGCTGAGGAGCCCAAATTGGACACAGCATCCAGATGGGCCTCCCCAGGGCTGAGCAGAGGGGCAGAATCCCCTCCCTGACCTGCTGGGAACGTTCTTCCCAATGCACCCCACCCCTATACCCAGTGTCCTCCTTGTCCCCCAGGTCCACTGTGCCAATTTTACACAGCAAATGCTGAGTGTGGCTCCTTCCAGAGGAACCTGGGGGTGAGAAGAGCAGGAAAGAGAAGCTCCCACGGAGCAAAACCCCCACTAATATGTTGTTTTTTCTTCCTTTCAGGGATTTTTTGTTGCCATCATATACTGTTTTTGCAATGGAGAGGTAAGTCACCAACACCCTCGGGATTCCCCATCCCACACACAGGTGGATGAACACCAGCACCTCCTCACTCTTTTGAGTGCCCCAGCCCTGTTTGGCACTCCCAGGTCTCTCAGGCCCCACTTTTGTTGATCTGAGACACCCGGGTCAATATGTCCCCAAAAATGATCTGCTGGAAGCAGCTAATGGAGATCAAAATGTGGAGGTTTTATCATTTCCCAGCACAAGGGCTGGTTAGTGCTGCTTAAGTTCAGCTCTGTGGCAGGAAGAAAAGTGGATTGATGGAGTAGCTGCCTGACCAGAACACTCTTTGGATTGTCCAGGGCCTTTTAACCCCTTTTTTTTTTCTCTATTTCCAGAGCAATATGCTTTGATTTCTTCATTTCCATTAATTCTCTCCATTGCTGCAAATTAAGGAACTAGATGGGAAAGGACTTTCATGGACTGGCATAAAGCTGGTTTGACCGAAATGTGGAGATTTTAAGGGGAAATGTGACTTCAGATATGAAAATTTAAACAAGGCAAAATCTGTACCACGAGGGGAATTCATCTCATCCCAGCTTTAGCCATCTGGTTTAGATTCAGTCTAAAGTAGTCTCAGTCTAAAGTAATAGATTAATTCTAAAATAAATAACTCCTTCCTAGAGGAGTTTCTGGGCACTCAGGTGCCTCTGGAGGTTGTTCATCCCATTTTTTCCTTGATTTCATGGTACATGAGGGGATTCTCTCCTGGGTTTGCTCTTGGACTCAGTTCACCCCCATTTCCAGCCAGATGTTTCCAGCCACTCAAGCTTCCCAGCGCCAAATATTCCATGTGGAAAGGGGAGATTTAACATGAATTTGCTGTTCCTTCCAATCCCATAGAATCACTGAGTTGGAAGGGACCCGCAAGGATCATCAAAGCCCAACTCTCCCCGGAGTTTCCCACCCGCCCTGCCTGTGGATCCCACCTCCTTCCTGCCCCTCTCTCCTCCCTCTCACCCTATTTTTTCCCTGCCTTTTCCCCTCAGGTCCAAGCAGAAATCAAGAAGTCATGGAGCAGGTGGACTTTAGCCCTTGACTTCAAAAGGAAAGCACGAAGTGGGAGCACAACCTACAGTTATGGACCAATGGTGTCCCACACCAGCATCACAAATGTAGCCACAAGAGGGGCGCTTGCCCTCCATCTCAACACGAGACTTATCCCAGGGACCCTCAATGGACACCGGAATTTGCCAGGTTATGTGAAAAACGGCTCCATTTCCGAGAATTCCATGCCCTCCTCCGGGCCGGAGCAGTACAACAAGGATGAGGAATATCTCAACGGCTCCGGCCTTTACGACGGGGACAGACCCACGGCCCTCGTGGAGGAGGAGAGAGAGACTGTGATGTAAAGGGAGGAGGGGAAAACGAGCAAGAGAAGCCCAAAGGATGGAAAAAAGGTTCCCGGAGAGCATTTAGTGGGTGACAGAACATCAGGCCGTGCGTGGAACGCCGAGGGTTTCCACGGGGTTTCCCTGTTCCGCGGAACCGGAGGTTAAGTTATGTGGGGAAAAAAACAAGCGGGGCCACCAAGGTGGATCCCAGCCCTGGACTCAGTGATCCACGTGTCCCTGGTGTTCCCGGGACCACAGAGACACCGGGAGCTGGCCGGGGAGGGCTGGGAAGCACCCCGGGGGCCCTCGGAGCTCTCGGAGAGCGCGGGCGGCCGAGGAGGACGGGAGGCTCCTGGAGTGTCACAGGGAGGGTGCAGTGCCATCATCCCGAGGGGGTGCATCCACCTCAGGCACCCCCCCTTCAGTCTGGTTTGCCCTCTGCCTGGCACCACGCCCAGGGTGGGCACTCGCTCCAAGGTCCTGCTCCCTCCAACCTGTCGCGCATCGTCCTTCCCTTGGGGAATGTCCTTCCCTTGGGGAATCTCCTCGGCAAAGCGCTCCTGGGGGCTGGGGAGGGTTCACAGCTCGGGGCTCCAGGATACGGGCACAAAACTCTCCTTCCTCTCCCCGAGTCCCGGTAGCAAGACAGGAACCAGCGGGAATTCAGGATGGAAAATGTGGTTCTCAGAATACGCGGCGTTTCCGTCCTTCCGGATGCAGCGGAGATGGAGAAGGGCCTTCCAAGGGCAGGGAATTCACAGATCTGGGGGGTGGGGAGGTGTGGCTAAAATCAGTTCAGAGGGGACCTGACTCAGCCCTCCCTTTTTGGGGAGCTCATGGAAAGAAGCTTCATTTCATTTTTAAACCTCTAAATTGGTCCTCATTCCGTTCCCTGAAAAACCCCATCCATTGAATCATAAAATCCCAGGTTGCTTTGGGTTGGAAAGGACATTAAAGATCATCCAGTGCCACCCCCTGCCATGGGCAGGGACACCTTCCACTCTCCCAGGTTGCTCCACCCTGGCCTGGAACACTTTCAGGGATGGGGCAGCCACAGCTTCCCTGGACAACTGGTCCAAACCCTCCTGAGGAGAAAGACTCCATCAACCTTCTGCCTGTATCCCCCAGAAGCACAAACTGTGGGATGCAGCCAGACAAACCCACCTTCATGAGACCCAAAGGCAAAATTTCTTGGATAAAAGCACAGGGATTGCTCCTGGATGGTCACCTTCTGAACTTCCCTGTTCTTGGTGTTTTGGTCCCACACAACTGGACACCAGGTCACACTTTCAGTTGGGGTCAACTCCAGCCAAAGGCATTGTCTTTGCCTGGAGATGCTGAGATGAGGAGATCCTACTGTGGGTGCCTCCAAAGGGAATAGCACAAGGAAATGTCTCCTTCCTTTGGGAGAGGGAGACAGGGAGGGTTTTGTCCCTGTGCAGAGTTTCCCTCGTCGGTGCTTTGGCCGAGTGTCCCCAAAAGGGTTTTCCCTGATGGATCTCCAGCAGCAATGAAGGGCTGAAGTCCTGTTGGCCACCAGTGAGTTGTGCTGGGGGTGATCCTCCAGGGAAGGGGCTCTGCCTGTTCCCAGCCATGATGCAGAACTGGTCAGGAGGGAGAAATTAGGAACAGCCACCAAAATTCCCATTGCAGCAAGTTCTGCTGAGCCAATCTGGCCCCTCCTTCCAGCCTCTGTCCCACCATCACCATTCCTTTGCTCCAGTCCAAGGCTCAGCTCCTCAAGGGGATTTTTGTCCTTATTTCTTCCTTTCCTTCTTGGCAGGATTCTGGGAACTGAAGCATTTTGACCACTTTAACTCCAATGGAATAGGAAAGAGGTATTGGGGAAGTTTGGGAAGGTGAGGAAAATGGGAGAATCTGCTCTCTCTGTTCTGATCCTGTGATATAATTGTTGGGTCACATCAACCAGAACTCCTGAGGTGCATCCATTCCATGCCATCAGCTGGTCTGCAGAGGGAAATGAAGGGCTGACTTCCCCCAAAGTCAGAAGGAAGGCAGGAAGAGGAGCTGGGATCTTGACCTGTGTCCCACAGCTCCTGAGCAAAGCCCAGGGAAACCAAGGGGAAAACCTCCTGCCTTGGACATGTCTGAGCTCGGGATTCAGACCTGCTGGGGGACGTGGGGGCTGAGCAGGTCACAAGTCACGGAATCATGGAATCATTGGGGTTGGAAAAGCCCTCCAAGGTCCCTGAGTCCCCCCCTGTGCCCGATGCCCACCTTGTCCCCAGCCCAGAGCACTGAGTGCCACAGCCAGGCCTTCCTGGGACACCTCCAGGGCTGGGCACTCCAAACCTCCCTGGGCAGCCCCTGCCAAGGCCTGACCACCCTTTCCAGGGAGAAATTCCTCCTGATGTCCCACCTGAGCCTCCCCTGGCACAGCTGGAGGCCGTTTCCCTTTGTCCTGTCAAAGAGCTCTTTAAAAGCCAGGATTTATTTGTGATGTTCTTGTCCTGTTTCACGCCTTTAAAAGAAGTCAAGTCCCATCACAACCATTTCCCACCAAATGGCAGCTGTTGAAATGTAAATTTTCAAAGATTGATCTCTTTTCATGCTCTCTCGTTCTGCCCCTCCCCGATTTTCTCACTCAAAAAAATGCCTTGGTTATCATTTCACCGTTGGAACAAAGAAAAAAAAGACCAAAAACCTCCAAGCAGCGACTCAGTGTTTGCTTGTGTTTGTCACTGAGAACTCGGGATTAAGAACGTGTTTGACAATCACTCAGCACAGTTCAAGGAATTAGCAAAAGCCGTGAAATTATTTATAAACAAATACAACACCCTCATCAAACCCAGCCCTGGCTGAAATGAGTTTGGCACTGGGTTATTTAAAATAAATGTCTAAAAACTCCTGTTAGACACAGATAAATTTACAGGCACGAGGGATATACAGAGGAAGAAATATTTTTTTTAAGCCTTTTTTAATTGCAAATCATGAATAATAGATTGGGGGGGGGAAGGATTATGTGAATAAACAATATTCCTGCAAAAATTGAGGGAATGCTGATACCAAACCAGGGGGAAAAGTGACGTCCAGGCACAGCAGAACATGTTTGTCAAAACCTGTTCCTGCCATTCCTGGGCTGATCCCAAACTCCTGATTTGAGGGTTTGGATCAGGATCCATCAACTAGAGATCCAAGTCATCCTTCCCTGATTTTAGTGAGGAAGGATCAGACCTGTGGTGTCTCAAAACAGAGAATAAACCCCAATTCATGGCTGGGATTTGCTCTGGAAGGAGGAGCAGAGGGCAGAGCCTTTGGGTTCAGAGCAGCCCCTTCCCTTCCTCCGGGTCGGATCCAACTTGGGATCCTGGAGCAGAGAGAGCACGTGGCTCTGGGGGTGGGGACAGCAAACACATCATGGAATCACCATCCTGGAATCAGCCTGGAATGGTTTGGGTTGGAAGGGACCTTAAAGGCCATCTCATCCATGGGCAGGGACACCTTCCCCAAGCCTGGCAAAGACAGGCACAAAGGCTTCCTCAGGTTCATCCCAAGGAGGAGACAAAGGTGCAGAGGAGCTGCTGGCCTGGATTTTCCCAGTTTTCCTCCTCCCTGGTGTCGGATTTGTGCCCCTTTTCCTCTCACCCTACAGAACCTCTGGCATTACCCTGGAGTCCTGCGGTCCCTCTCACCTCTCCAGGCCTGCTGGGCTGGCACGGAACTCATGGATTCATGGAATGTCCCTGCCCACCTTTTGGATGAGTGTCCCCTTCTCCAGCCCCGCCAAGGTGTTGGGATTGGGTGGGAATCCCACCCCTGGCAGGTTCATCTCATTTTGCCCCTTCTATTCCCACCCACAGCACCACAACCCCCTGTTCCTCCCGAGTCCTTTCCCCTTGATCTCCCTCTTTTCCAGATGGGCACAGAGCTCTCAAATCCTCCTCAGCCTTTTATTTCTTCAGGAGGACTTTTGGCAGCAGTTTTGTCCTTTCTGCTTTGCAGACAAATGTTTTTGTACCTCCTCTCCACTGCTTGGGCTTGGTTCAGATGAGATCATGTCTTGTCCTATCCCCCACCATTCCTCAGCTCTGCTGCCTCTTGTCTGATCCATTTTGGAGCCAAGAGTTCACAAAGATCTCCCAAAATCCAGTTCTTCAGCCAGGGGTTGGCTTTGTTTATCTGTTTATGGGCAATCAGCCGAAGGTCACGGAACATCCACGGCGCTGGGAAGAATTTCCCACTTTTTTAAACCATAAAAACACACCAAGAGGGAAGATCTCCACATTTTTCTTCCTATTTACTTGTCAAACTCAATATCTGGATTAAAACTTTTCACTTCAGGTTCTGACGGATCAAAAAGTTAAGAAACCTCATTTATAGGTTGGTTTCTCTCTTTTTTTTTTTTCCCACTGTCTGATTTTTCCACACCTTCCACCTCAAAGGCTTCAAGAATGATTGATGAGCAGTGGGATCAATCCTGAACCTCTCACTGGGGTCAGTGGCTCTCACCTGAGACAGGACTGCACGAAATGAGAGAAAGCACTTGAGGAGTGAGATGTTTAGGAATCTGTGAAGTCTTTTCATGTGCTTCTTGTTGCTGGATGTTGGTTTTTTCCACCTCTTGGTGCCCCCGAGTTTGGTGCAAACCAACCTGCCGCGGGAAGTCGTGGCTCACGTCCCCTCTTCCTTCACTTCTCTGACAACCTTTGGGCTGCAAGGGGAAGCAAAGGGCACAGAGAGCAAGGAAAACAGCCCTTGCCTTTGCCCCAGCCCTGGTTGGTGCCGGTTGGCACGCAGGGAACCGAGTCACCTCAGGTGGGATGTGCCCCATGGCACGGGCACAGCTTCAGCTGCTGCTGAGAAACGCTGTGGAGAGAGTGCTGGGCTGGGCTGGGCTGGGCTGGGCTCCCTCCCAGCACCCAGGGCACCAGATGGCACAGGAACCACTCCTGTCCTGATCAGCCTCCTCTGCCACTGTCACACACTGCAGCACTTTGCTGGGGATTGGCAGGGATTTTCCTTTCCTTTTCCTTTCCTTTTCCTTTCCTTTTCCTCCTCTTTCCTTTCCTTTTCTTCCCCT